CATCAGCGGTCATTCCCTTCCAATGAAGCCAGACAGCTGGGTCGTCTAGGGGGTTGGGAAAACAGGTGGACTTCTTCCACATGGGCTTACAAGACAATCAAAGGGGGCCTCACATGGACTTGGTTGAGGCGCCCTCCCCTAGTGTTACCAAAAATGGGTCAAAAACCAACCACTTTACTCACAGAATTTGTAATTCAACTGTTAAACAGAGATGTGATAGAAATGTTGCAGTCAGAGAAGTGTTTCATGTCTCGCCTATTCCCAGTTCCCAAGACAGGCAGCAACAATTTGATGTGGATTTTAGATCTTTCTGTCCTAAACAAGTTCATTACCAAAACAAGTTTCAAGATGCTCACTTACGATCATCTGAGGCATCTACGTACTTCCGCCCAATGCTTGGATCTCAAAAGTGGATCTCGAAGATGCCTATTATGAATTGCCTGTTGCTCCCAGGTACAGAAAGTTTCTAGTATTTGCAGTGGGGGATGTAAGTTATAAATTGACAGTGATGCCATTTGGCCTGACAATTGCAGCAAAAGTGTTTACAAAACTGGTATACATCCCCAGAGATATCCTTGCGAAGGAGGGCATAAGAACTTTTGCTTATCTAGACAATTGGCTGATAGTGGAAAACTCTTTCGAAGATTGTCAAAGGGCGACCCAACGTACACTAGTACTATTTCAAAACTGAGGATTAAAGATAAACCAGGTCAAATCCAATCTCAAACTATGTCAAAAATTGGATTGGTGAGGTCTCCATTTGGACACAAATCAGCAGTAAGTCAGTCTACCAGGAGCAAAGGTAACAGATGTGATAAACCAAGCAGAAGCCTTTTGTGCAAAGAAAGAGGTTTCTTGGCACGATTGGGAAAAACTACTGGGTCTTTTGAATTTTGCCACAATAGTAGTTCCTTTGGGCAAGTTAAGGAAGAAGCAACTAACTCATCGGGGGTGAAATTTGCTTCATAGAAACATAAATTTTGCTATTCAGATCAAGAATCTTCTGTCTTGGTGGAAAATTGGGACAATCTAATCGGTTCATCTCCCTGGGTTCCCCCTCAAACAGACTTGGTTGTTTGTACGGACTCGTCCGAAATAGGATGGGGATACCATTCCTCAAAAGGAGAGTTCCGTCAAGGGAAGTGGAGCAACTCCCTTTGGGGCAAACACATAAACATAAAATAATTAGCAGTAATCCTATTCTTTTTGTTGGCAAACCCAAATTTCAAAAACATATCGATTCTGTTTGCCATGGACAACAGAACGGCAGTGTTTTGTCTCAATCATCAAGGCTCAACCACAACTTGGCCTCTTCTAAACCTATAGGAATAATTTTCAAAGCTTGTGTAACACAAACACTTTACCTCAAAGCAACTCACATACCAGGAGTACAAAACAATTGGGCAGATGCGTTGTCCTGTCAGATATCGAAGTTCAAGAAACTAGTGAGGAGGTTTGGGATGCCACAAATAGATCTCTTGCCTCACAAAACAATCACAAGATGCCAATTTATGCATCGCTGGAGCGGTCGAATCTTTTAGGAAATGCTCTACTCATAGATTGGAACCATTAGAATTCAATCTATCTGTTCCCACCTGTGAAAATGTTGCCCAAAATGGTTTACAAACTCAGATCCTTCCAAGGGAAGGTCCTCTTAATTGCACCATATTGGATCCTACAACTGCGGTGTCTGCATCTGTTGGACTGGTGCCCGCATCCACTACGATTACAACAAGGATATCTAGAACAGGTACTGCACCCTCAGTTCGAGATATCCTTGGCACTTCACGCTTGGAGTTTCTCGAAAGATGTTGAAATAGATTGTTGGGTAATTCCAATATCGTTATCCAAGTGATAGCAGGTCATAGGCCCCAAACTTCTATGCAATATGAGAAAGCTTGGAAAATTTTTCAACAATTTATCAGGTTAATGACTCCAATCACATTGTCCAAAACAGTGGTGTTAGAATTTTTAGATTTTCTGTTCAGAGTTAAAGGCCTTCAAGGATCGACAATTGCATCTTATAAATCAGCATTGGTTGACCCTCTGGCGTGGGGTTTTAATATTACTTTGAACCCAAGAATTTATCAAAAGCTCAGATCGTCCCTTTTATTCAGAGACCTCCTCAGCCTAAGAGAATCCCACCTTGGTCTCTCGATAAAGTTACTAAATTTCTTATGGGGCCTAATTACAATATAAATCTGAACCGGGACAGATTGCTCCAGAAGGCAGCCTTCCTTCTAGCAATAGCAACAGGTATGAGAATCAGTGAACTGATTTCAATTTCCAATAATCCATCATTATTGGTATTTTCTGAGGAAGATGTCACCCTTTTTCCGACGGAGATTCTAAGAAAAATGAAAGGGACGATTTTAGAGCTCAACCTATCAGGAAAAAACGGCTGATGGATGAGACAAGGGTTCCTCATATATTGTGCCCAGCTAGGAATCTTCAAGAATGGTTAACCAGATTCCCTAATTGAATCCCCAATGTATTCTCATCACAGGATGGTAAGAAATTGTCTCCTAGTCAAATGACAAAATATTTATCTCAGTTAGTAAGTCAAGCAGACCCTGGCAAGAAATTTTTGGCACATGACACCAGGAAATATGCAGGGCCTGTGGCCTTTCTGCGGCATATGAGCCTCAGTCAGATCAAAGAAGTGGGCTTTTGGAAATCTTCAAAAACCTTTCAAAACAGTTATCTTCATCTATCTCTGGAAGATGCTTCACATGTAGTGGTGCTAGGGTCCCCTCCCCCACCTAGTTATTCTCCACAACCAGGACCTTCTTCTTCCTCATCAGAGTAAAGTGAGTATCCTAATTGGGATATGTAAATTAACATTTTACCTTCCGGTAAATGCTCCTAATATTGAAAATATTAAAAAAAATAATAATAAATAAATAAATAAATAAAAAATTATAATTATAATCTGGACCTAAGCTAGCGGAGCCTTATATGCAATGTCACCTCCCTCTCCACCTCCTGTTCAGGTAATCAAAGCGAGATGTCGCATTCTAGATTGAACAAAAAGCCATTTTTTTCTAAAACCAGTTTTTGTGATATAGTCCAGAATGCAACGTCGACATCCCACCCATTTCTACCCCTTGAGAGTTGACATTTGTTTACAGCTCGCTCTAGGGCAAGAGATGACGGAAGCAATGCGTGTGATGGAGGGTGCGGGAGGGGGTTTTGAGAATTGCAATTAAATGCCAGGTAGCGACGTGTCCTAATATTACGTATTAAGTTATTATTAGATGTTTTAATTGCCTGTATGTTGGCCTGGCGAGTTATTGCTAGGCATTAACATACCTAGGTATAAAAGCTACACGTTGCATTCTGGACTACGTACTGTATATCACAAAAACTGTTTTTTAGAAAAAAAAAGCTTCTTTTTTCTTTCTATTTTTTAAGGGCATTAGCCCACCCAGGCACAGGTCATTTTTAATGACCCACATCAAAGCCTGGAGGGGAAAATATAATAAAATAATAATGATGATGATGATGATAATAACAATATTTATAATAGTACACTAATAAAATTAAAAAATATATATAAAAATAAATAACAATTATAATAAAAGAAAATAATAATAATAATGATAAAAATTTATAAAAATTATAAATACCCCAGTAATAATAATAATAATAAAGAGCCATAAATAAATATAAAAATTAACAAATATCAAGAGTGAGAAATAATATACTGTAAGTATGTTGTGTTGTCAAAGTAAGAGTGACAATTGAGACCCTGCAGTTGTGTGTAAATGAGGCAGAAAGTCAGATCAGCAACCTTGGACTTGGTCACAATTTTTGTGATGCCATATGGCAGCAGGGTCTACCATTGTATGAGCTTGTTCGCTCGTTCACTCATGTTTTCGCTTATGATCTGTGTTGTGAAGTACATGTACTCAACATTATTGTACCAGGATATAATCAGCCAAGAATACCATTAAAGCATTGTTAACATGTAAAAAGTGGTTACAGTTACATTTACTGTCCTGTACATTCAGTAACTGTTTAAGTACCATATGTACAGTACAATACTGTACATAGCAGAGTGGACATTGTATGCCTACTGTAGGCTAGTATGTAGAGGGTGTATGTACAGTATACAGTGCATGTACAATCCCTGTTTTATGGAGGGAGAAAAGAGTGACAGATAGTAGCACCTGCTACAGTAGACGGTACAGGACAAAGGCAGGCCATCTTATATCATTATACTGTTATCACCATTTGGCCTGCCTGCATCACAAGCTCAAGATGAAAGCATCTGTTGATAAGTACAATACTATAGTGTACACAGTAGTATACTTTGTTTATTTACAATATATTTTATGTGTACAGTAATTTTTGCAAAAATAAATACAGCTCTGTGTCTATCCAATTGCAGTTCGACACGGAAACATTCACCAGTGCCCGGAAAAATTCTGTGGATGTGCAATTTTTTCCGGGATAAGAAAATTTGTCTCAATAGCCAGAAATCTCTCAAACCCAGAAATGGCTCTGCACTAATTGTTCTGGCTAATGGGGAAATTACTGTAGATATTATTTTACATTACAACATATCAGTCTAATACAGTACAAGAGTTTGATGAGACAACCAATGGCTCAGTTACATTTAGTGATACCTGTGCTATTCATTGTCATTTTACTTTGAGTGATGTAGTGCAGAACATATGGTACCAGTACAGCAGTACATTACAGTATGTCATTGCCGCATAGCAAAAGACAAAGGCTCATCACTGAGTTCTTTAAAACTGTTCCCAATCAAGACAAAAGTGATCAAGAAAGGTGAAGAAAATATTTAAAGTCTTAATTATGAATCCATATCAATTCTTGCATGTTATAATCATCAAATACTGAAGTGCATGAAACAAGTGATGATGATGATAGTGAATGGATGATAAGGCCAACACATAATATATTGATGTAGAAAATGATCTGATGTTGATGAAAATGAATGCAACTAACCCTGCCAGTCAAGCAATGTCACCCACCCCAGTTTATGTTAAGTGCCAGCAGCTATACTACTAGTACAGTACTGTAGAGTACTTGTGAAGTCAGGCATCTGAAGCTAGTAGCTTATGTGCCTCTGTGACATCATTCTCATGAATCCTGGTACGTGAGGGATGATTAGTTTGCTAAATTTCTCTGGGTCTTGTTTCCAGTGTTTCTCCGGCCTTGACTTGAACTGATGGATGGAAGTACTTTGCACCACTGACTCAGGCAGGAAATTCCAGCAATGGGCAGCTCTCTGAGAGAAACACATTTGTTGTTGCCTTTTTAGTTGGAACTAAATAAAATTATTACTGCAAGTAGCTAATTTGTTTATATTATACTATACTTATTATTTGCTACACAATATCTCATTAAAAACAATCCAGTGTCAATATATTATGTTTTAGGAAATTTTTTTTTCATAGGAACCTATCTCCCATGATATAATAGGAGCCAATGAGAACATATGAATTAATTTAAAAAATTTTGATTTGCAAAGATTTGCAAATGATTCTTTGGGGAACGTAAACTTTTCGTAAATTGGGGTTTATCTGCATAGTTCACAAAAACTTTTTTTTTTCTCAAAGTGCCATTGACATTGGCAGCAATGTGAGGACCTACACTAAAAACATAATTATATAGATTTAAATGGTGAGTACTAACTTCTAAACTATAAATAAATATACACTTCTAGTAGAAAAACTTTGGTTTAGACCAATTATTTATGTGGTAACCATAAGCAGGTTTATTTTATGGCTGCCATTTTAATAGTGGTATATTCAATGGAGTTTCCACTATACCAAAACATAAATTTTAATGCACAGTAGCTCTGCAAATTGATGACAGAGCAAGGAAAAAATTACTTGAAGCAACTGTTCAGTGATTTGTTCCTGCTAAAATCAGACAAAATTCAGTAATGTTTATTTAAAATTCACCAGAACATCAATGGTGTAGAAGCCAAAGTTGCCATTTTCCAAAGTATTTGTCTCACTTTTTTCTTACTTGGGCATCAAATTTTCATTCAATACATTAAAACATCTTTAAAGTTAAAATTTAATTGTGAATGCGTATTAAATAATTAATGGTAATGAAACATATACTGTATCAATATCATACATTAATTAAGTAGAATCCCTTTGGATACACTTGATAATTAATAAATACACAGTCGCTATCATTTCTTTGACAAATTGACAATAACAATCACTGATTTACATCAGATTTTAGCAGAAATGATAGTACTAAGTTGTTCACTCTTTCTAAAATCAGACATACACTACTTTTATCCACTTTGCCACTGATCAGCTTGTTAGCCACTTTAAGGATGATTTTTTGTGAATATGTCAAAGTTCTGAAGGTTGGGGGTCGCTGCCTACACCACAGAGAAGTAAACTCAACTACTAGGAACAGCAACTCAAACACTGTAATAAAATCTAATGTGAGAGGAGTATTTTCATGTATATTTCATTCAGTAAATTTATAAACAAGTGTGTGCATATCCTGACATAGTATACACATAAAAAGAAACGTCTTAGTCAAAATCATGAAGAAATCAATCCATTAATAACATGGCACCTTATAATATACCTTGGCTGGCAACGCTAAACTCCTACATCACTGTCAACAATGTACTTCCTGGTAAACTTGTCCTGTCTGTCTGACAATAAACTTAAAAGTAAACACTACACATAACCACCATACATGCTTATAACCCAAGCAGACACCATCTTATGATTGCCATCAATAGTACTAAACTAATACAACACGGTGTGTATACCTCTTAAGAGAGCTTTCCTCCGTCGTTCAAGGTCTTTCTTCACTGATGACTTAAAGTCTGTGAATTTCTTCTTCAATTCATTTCTTTCTCTTTGTCTCACAGCGGGATTCACACCGTTGATAGCCGATGCAATGCTATCCCACGCTTCCATTCTTAATCTCATTGGCACAATACTTTCCGACTTTCCTAGTAACACTTTTCGCCTTTTCATTACCTCCTTAACCAACATAATTTTCTCAGCCTCCGAAAAATTAGGCCGTCGTTTTAAATGAGGTTTATTATCCATGGTGACTGGTTTACTCCGCGCTAATGTTTATGTTTACAATTTGCTGCGTACCGGTTTGAATCCTGCTTCCTCATTGGACAAAATATCGAGCTATAAACTGGCGTAAACGGCAGTACACATGCGCGAGACCATTTGATGTGCTGGGCAGGAATCCGGATTTAAAATTAGGGATTAAAAAGATTTACCCTATTTAAAGGGATCTCATTAAATGATTGATTACCGCGGGACGGTGGAAAACACTCGACGTTCAGGTGTAGAGCGGAAATTGTGGGTCACATGTCGTCGAGTACCAGTAGATGAAACAACCAGAAGTAAACTCTAAGTACTCATCGATTACAAAGCAAAGAAGCTGACTCGGACACCGAGGAGAGTAGAATAGTGGTGTGTCTGTCTCCTCGAGATGCGCTAATAACGTGGAATTATCGGTGAATTTTGAACGATGTTTTCATCACTGCAGATTAGTTGTAAATATATTATATTTGGTGTCCCCAACACACTTTATCATCAGAAATATAGCTAAGCTACACTTGAAATAAAAATGAAGGTGGTTCAATGTGGAATCAATACTCAGTTCCTATGATACATTCACCCTAAGTAAGCAATAAAGATATTCACAGTAATTACGGTCGGATTCTTTGTCAGATTAGACCTATCTGAGATAATTTTAATTGATCAGTTCACCAAATAATAGCGTTTAGTCTGTTCTTTTTCATTTTTTTCTGACCTTAATTGTTCGGTGTTATTTAGGAAGAAACTGGAGTGCTATACCGGGAGAAAACCTGTGATGTTTGATAGTGTCACATTGCATAACCATCTACTCTAGTCTGAGATATATACACGTTGCCACTGTACCACCAACACTACATAAACCCCGGAATAAGTTCATGCAGGCTCCGATTCAAAGAAGCCTCAACCTAAACTAACTACGTATACAGTATGACATGGAGGCCACAAGCGCAATCTTAATGATTAAGATACTGTACGTAACACATTTGTAATAAATTATGCTTCAGCGTCCAGAAATATAGTATCATATGTCCAGGTCTTAGTAAAATACGGCATTATATATCTTTTTTTTCTTTTTATCCTCTTCGCCACTGATCACCTCGTTAACCGCTTAGGCTAACTCACTGTTGGCAAATATTGAGCATGTACTGGCTTCTGAATGTGCCTGAACCTGCTCCAGTGTTGGTCAAGTCTGGTCTTGAATGAGCTGACACTTGGTGCCGTCACAACACTCTCTGGTAGTTTGTTCCAAGAGTTCGAAATTCTCACTCCTAACAACTTTGCCGTCATAGTTTTCTGGACTTGCGGGTTCTTCGACCATGAGCTGTGACCCTTGTGGGGCGGGCGTCCACTAGCTCCAGGTATGGACACTCGACTGAGTAGTGCCCTCTGCCTCTGAGATGTTTAGACACCTCAATTAGGTCACCCCAGCACCCTTTGCCCGTCTGAAGTATAAGCTAGGCAGTTGAAGGTGCTCTAATCTCTCTGGATGACTGAGGTGCCGAAGTGCAGGCACCAGTCCTTTGGACATTTTTAATCCACAGACAGTCTCTAGCTTACCTCGGGGACCAGGCAGTATTCCAGACGGGGAAGCACCCCCCCCCCCCCTTGAAGATCGTTACGAAGGACGGACTGTCTAGATATCTGAACGACCTTATCAGATCTACAATGGCCCGAGAATTTCAGTTCATTGTCAATATACACACCCATGTCCTTTTCACATTCGTTCTCTATTAATGTAGTTTCTTCGTCCTGTTGAGACATGTGATACACCTCTTGACCGTTGGTACGACCCAGGGGCATCCTGACTTCGTGACATTGAATCTTAGCAGCTATTTCTTCGACCATTCTTGAAGCTAACAGAGATCTTTCTGCAGCTCTTCACAGTCTGCTTGGTTCTTAATTTCCCTAAATAACTTGGCATCGTCCGCAAACATTTGTATGGAGGAGTGTACTGCTTCTGGCATGTCATTAATGATGCAAACAAACAACAACGGGCCCAGTACACTGCCCTGTGGTAACCCGCTTGTCACGTATACACATGGCGATATCGTGCAATTAATCACCACACACTGCTTGCGATCGTGAAGAAAGTCTCCCTCACTCTTGGAACAAGGGACACACATCACTGTGTCCTGGAACTAGGGAAATACATCACTGTGTCCTGGAACTAGGGAAATACATCACTGTGTCCTGGAACTAGGGAAATACATCACTGTGTCCTGGAACTAGGGAATACATCACTGTGTCCTGGAACTAGGGAAATACATCACTGTGTCCTGGAACTAGGGAAATACATCACTGTGTCCTGGAACTAGGGAATACATCACTGTGTCCTGGAACTAGGGAAATACATCACTGTGTCCTGGAACTCGGGAAATACATCACTGTGTCCTGGAACTAGGGAAATACATCACTGTGTCCTGGAACTAGGGAAATACATCACTGTGTCCTGGAACTAGGGAAATACATCACTGTGTCCTGGAACTAGGGAAATACATCACTGTGTCCTGGAACTAGGGAAATGGATCATCTACCAATAAACTAAAGTCATTACAAATTTGAGTAACCTTGACAACATAGCTTCCAACCTCCTTCTCTTATTCGTCTTTCTTCTTCTTCTTCCCTTTCCCTCCTCCCGTCTCTTTACGCTCGGCCAACTCCCCTTTGTCTTCGCTATTCGCTATTTGGAATCTTCTATTCCTCCCCCACCTATTCTTCTGCTCTTTCGCTTCCTTGTTTATTACATTTCCCATACGTTTCCCTTTTCATGCCCCTTCTTCTCTCCCCTCCTCTCCTCCTTCCCCTCCATTTATCCTCTTCCCCTTCCCTTGCCACCATTCCCTCCCAACCACCATCATTGTTCGTTCTACTCCTACCACCACTCCCTTTGCTACCACCACACCCTCCCCTACCACCACACCCCTCCCCCACCACCACACCCTCCTACCAAAACACCACCCTCCCCACCACCACCTCCCCCACCACCACACCCTCCCGTACCACCACTCCCCTATCACCCTCCCACACCCTGCCTCCCCCACCACCACACCCACCACCACCACCACCACCCTCACCACCACACCCTCCCCACCACCACCCTCCCCCACCACCCACACCTCCACACCCACCCCCACCCTCCCACCACCACAACCCACCCTCCCCCACCACCACACCCTCCCTGTACTCCACACACCACCCTCCCCCACCCCTACCCTCACCACCACACCCCCCCACCACCCACCCTTCCCCACCACCACCTCACCTCCCACCTCCCCACACCACCTTCCCCACCACCCACACCCCTTCCTCACCACCACACCTCCTCCACCACCACCACCTCCCCACCCTCCCTCCACCACCACTCCCCCCACCACCACCACCACCACCCACCCCACTCCCTCCCCCCCACCACCACACCCTCCCCCACCACCACACCCTCCCATTCCCCCACCACCACACCTTCCCTCCCCCACACCCTCCCCCTACCCACCACACCCCCTCCACAACATCCACCACCACCCCACCCCCTCCCCCACCACACACCTTCCCCCACCACCACACCCTTCCACACCACCACACCCTCCTCCACCACCACACCCTCCGTGTACCACCACTCCTCCCCCACCACCACTCCCCCTCCCTCCTCCACCACCACACCCTCCCCACCACCACACCTCCCCCACCCACCACTCCCTCCCCCACCCACCCACACCCCTCCCCCACCACCCACACCCCTCCCCGTACCACCACCCCCTCCCCCACACCCTCCCCCACCCATCCTTCCCTCCCACCACCCTCCTCCCACCCTCCCCGTACCACCACTCCCTCCCCACCACCTCCCTCCTCCACCACCACACCCTCCCCCACCACCACACCCTCCCACCACCCACCCCACCACACCTTCACCCACCACCACACCCTTCCCACCACACCCTCCCACTACCACCACCTCCTTCCCTCCACCACCACACCCCTCCTCCTACCACCACACCCTTCCCCACCACCACACCCCCTACCACCCACCCTCCCCACCACCACACCCTTCCCACCACCACACCCTCCCCACCACCACACCCTCCACCCCCACTCCACCACACCACCACACCCTCCCCCACCACCACTCCACCACCACACCCTCCTCTCCACCACCACCCTCCCCCCCACCACCCCACCCCACCACCACACCCCCCTCCCCACCACCACACCCTTCCCCACCACCACACCCTCCACCACACATCCTCCCCTCACCACCACACCTCCCCCACCACCACACCCTCTCCACCACCCACCCTCCCCTCACCACCACCACCCTCCTCCCACCACCACACCCTTCTCCACCACCACCCTCCTCCACCACCACCACCCTCCCCCACCACCACCACTTCCCCCACCACCACACCCCTCCTCCACCACCACACCCTCCCCTCCTCCACCACCACACCCCCTCCCCACCACCACACCCCCTCCACCACCACACCCTCCCCACCACCACACCCCCCCCCACCACCACACCCTCCTCCACCACCACACCCCTCCCCCACCACCACACCCTCCCTCCACCACCACACCTCCTCACACCACCCACCCTCCCCTACCACCACACCCACCCTCCTCCACCACTCCACCACACCCCACCACCACACCCCAACCACCCACCTACCACCACCCTTCTCACCACCACCCCTCCTCACCACCCCACCCCACCACCCCACACCCCCTCCACCACCACACCCTTCTCCACCACACAACCTCCACCACCACACCCCCTCCCCACCACCACACCCTCCCCACCACCCCACACCCTCCACCACACCCCTCCTCCCCACCACCACCCCCCCCCCACCACCACACCCCTCCCCCCACCACCACACCCCTCCTCCACCACCACACCCCTCCTCCACCACCACCACCACCACCACTCCCTCCCCCACCACCACTCCCCACCCCCACACACCCTCCCCCACCACCACACCCCACCACCACCTCCCACCACCACACCCCTCACCCCCACCACCACACCCCCCCTCCACCCCACACACCCTCCCCCACCACCACCC